GTCACTCGGGCAGATTAATGGGAAGTTTGGAAAAAAAAAGGAGGAGGGGGGGAGGTGGAGGGGGGGGAAACAATTAAGCAAGAATCCCCAAAACAATGGGGGCCACGTGCCGCGGGCAGCGGTCGTTGGGCGCACAATGGGTTATCGGCTCCCCTTGAATGCGCCCAACTGTTGCAAACGACATGAGCCTGCCCAGTTTTCAAATCATTTAATGCTCTTGTTTTCTTCCAATCCAGCCAATCTCCGCCGGCACAGCCGTCACCTGATGGTCTTTTTTCTGGATTTAAGTCCCAAGCCTCACAAAATAACTGAACAGCGTAACCATGGCAATGCTAATTATTGCCCGATAACTACAGTAGGAGAAAGAACGCGGGGCAGGCTGGCAGAGAGATTGGAAGATGGGTCTTTTGGCCAGGGTTTGAGGTTTTGGCTCCTGGTCCTGTGTTGATTTTTCCCCCTCTTTTCTTCTTTTCAAAATCTTGTTACAAACAAATCACATTCTGCTTTTACAGACAAATCACCTTCTGCTTTAAAGATCTCCCAGATAACAGTTTAGGGAGCTTTGATAGGTGTTTTTGGAATTCCTGACTAGAGGAGCTGAAAGCTCCAGGGCAGGCAGGCACTGGAGTTTTGCCTTGTTCTTTTAAGCTGATTTAGAGTCATGTAAAACATAAAAGATGCTTCAGCAAGAGACCAGATTTATTTAAGGCTTCTGCAGCATCGTTTGGCAACAAACACAGATCAGCACCATGCAGCTGCTTTAATACGCTCTGAGAGCTCTTTAAAGCCTTCGTTTTGAAAGCAAAATCAACTACAACCAACTAAATTATGTTATTCTGAGAGATAAAGATGTTTTCCTGGATGTGAATCCCTTTGTATTTACTCTGGGTGTCTAATGACAACTTCCTGACATGTCCTAATTACTGCTTTATTCCTCGAGGTACCAATGACTCCTATAATACCATTCCACATAAATAAATTAATTTAGTCTTTCACTTACAATAGTTCTTTTGGTGACTTTAACAGGAGTTTGTACCACACAGGAATTTTTGGGTACTGTAAATATATTCCAATATTACCGTTTTGTACCATGAGCTCTACCAGAAGCAAAGCAAAACAGGTGAGGTGGAGTGTGCAGAATGTGTCAAAAGAAGAGCTTTAAACCAGAAGCAGCCTGTCATTGCTGTGCCTCGGGTTTGCTGCCAAAGGCATCCTGGCAGTTTCGGGGTGTTCAGTCGCACATCAGCTTTGGACTTGTTTCCAGGCAGTTTCTCTCTGAGTTCCTGGGCATTATTCTCCTATAAATACCCCACAGGAAGTTTTCTTCACCAAAATGTTTCCAGCTGCACGAAGGAACACGGGATCAGGTGAAGGGTGTCAGTGACCAGCTGGGAAACCAAAGGGATTTGCCAACAGAATTCTGACCTGATGCATTTTCCTACTGACCCACATGAGCTGTGGCACACCAGCCATCTCCCCCCTTTCCAGGGGCAGTGCAGCACCATCCCTGCTCCCAGTAACCTTCCCTGCTGCTCTGCAGGCTCTTGGCTTCCGACCCATCCCAGCTGAGCGAGGATGAGCTCCCTGGGGACCTGCAGTCCCTGTCCTGGCTGACGTCCGTGGATGTGCCCAGGTTACAGCAGATGGCCAGTGGGAGGATGGATTTCAGCCTTGGGGCCCAGAATGCCATGCTCCAGCAGCCAGGTAATGTTGGGATTGGGAATAATTGCTCCTTAACACCACAATCTACCCCTGCCTTTCTCTCCCCCCACAGACTCCCTTAGTTGATTCCTTTAAAGTACTTTACATTTTGCTTCCTGTCCAATGACCTGGAGCCTGTTGGCTTCTCATAAGGGCGCTACTGATCCCTTTCCTTCATCCCAAGAGGCAGAGCCCCAGTACTGACAGCAGATCCCTGGATCCCATGGGAATTTCTGCTCAGTGCAGTTGCTGGTGCCTTGTTGGGTGAACTCAAGCTGAGGTATTTAAGACTTGGGGTTCAGAGGTTTTCAACAGCTTTGGAATTAGGTAATTAGTGTTTCTGCTTTGTTTCAACACTGATAAAACCAAGAGCACCTGATCTTTGCTTCAGGCAGGTTTACAGCCTGAGTTCACTTTTCTTGGTGAACATCCTTTAGGTAAACACACTTGTTCCCTGCAGCATCATCCCACCTGTCTTAGAGCACAAATCCTCCTGAAGTACAGACAGTGCTGAATATGTTGTTTTTCTTTTGTAAGACACGGTGTCTGTAACCCCTCCAGGGACTGTTAAAGAGCTGCCACCTTTCACTCCCTGTGTAACGAGTTTTAGAAGCAGCTGATGTGACCTTTGCAAGCTGTGAAATGCTCTGGGTTCTGTGGGGATGGAAAGGCAGAGAGGTGTGATTATCCACTCCAGAGCCTGGCTATATTCAACTGCATCCATTAAACATCAGTGTCACCTCTTTCTCCTGAAGTACTTCCATGTGAACATTCCTTGCCTTTGCTCTCTCCACACAGGTCCTGTGACAAACACCCTGCATTCAACAGGAGCTCCTGGAGCAATGATCCATGTCCAGGCCAGCCTTCCCCAGGGAATCCTGGGCCTCAATTCTATTTCAACACATGGAGCAAATGTAAGAGCAGGCCTTGATGGCCCATTATTGCCACACCTCTTAGGAAAAGGTGCTGGGAATCCAGGAGTGCCACGACTGGTGTGTCTCTCTCAGCAGATGAGCCCCTATGCCGTGGGTGGGCAACTGTCTCCTGGTTTACAAACACAGCAACAACTCTTTCCTCCTCCTCCTCCTCCTCCTCCTCCTCCTCACTCCCAGCAGGTGTTTGCCCTGGCCCAGAACACCCAACAGGTACCATGTGTGTCTTGTCTGTCCTGAAGTACCTGCCAAGATCATTTCTAGACCTCTCTAAAACCCCCCACAATAAAATATCCCTGAACCTAAGTACTCACAGACATTTTGCATCCAGCATTTCCCTTCTTTTCCTCCTGCACACAGTGTAACCCAGCAGGAATCTACAACACATCCTACGGGACACAGCCACACTATTCCCAGCCCCGCCTGGCTCCTCACTCTGCCCAGGAACTGCATCCAAAGCATTATCCCAAGCCCATCTATTCGTACAGGTGAGTGGAGAGCAGGGATGGCTGTAACACTGCAGGGCTGCTGCCATGGGAATGTTTGATTCCTTTGGAGGGAACAAAAATCCCATCACCCACCCAGGAGTTCTGTGGGAGCTGCCCCTGAGGGGCAATAGGAGTGAACAAGCAAACTGGTTCTGGATATCAGCATAAGGGTGGAGTAATAGCACAGAGGAGTAAAATCTGAGGATCACAGGGTGACTTCTGAGCCCTTGAGAACAGAAATCCCATGATCAGCCAGCCCATGGCAGGGGGTGGAGTGAGATGAGCTTTAAGGACCCTTCCAACCCAACCCATTCCATGATGGCTCAGTTCTTCCCTGTCTTTCCCTCTCCCAGCTGTTTGATCGCGATGGCTCTGAAGAACAGCAAGACCGGGAGCCTCCCCGTGAGTGAGATCTACAGCTTCATGAAGGAGCACTTCCCCTACTTCAAGGTACCTGTGCAGCCCCAGGGGGGGGAAGTGCAGCATCCCAAATCCATGGCTGGTTTGTCTAACCCCCCTCCCTGCACTTTCAGACAGCCCCGGATGGCTGGAAGAACTCCGTGCGCCACAACCTGTCCCTGAACAAGTGCTTTGAGAAGGTGGAGAACAAGCTGAGCGGCACCTCCCGCAAAGGGTGTCTGTGGGCCCTCAACCCCGCCAAGATCGACAAGATGGAGGAGGAGATGCAGAAGTGGAAGAGGAAGGACTTGGCTGCCATTCACAGGAGCATGGCCAACCCAGGTAGGGCTTTTATCTCCCTGCCCCATCCCAAGCATCCACGGCTTTCCCTGAGGGTCCCGCTGCCTTCAGTGTTACTGATTATAGTGTCACATTTCCATGTCTGTTCTTCTGCAAAAACCCCTCTTTATTAAGCCTCTTTCATTCTTATTTGTAAAAAACCACGTTTTTGAAGCTTTCATGAGCTCAGTATTGACAAAATCAGCTGGAGTTTTTTGCTGCAAAATCAGTAACATACGATCAGTGATAAATTAGTTTTATTTGTTTACAAGCTAAAGGGCCACTGAAACTGCTGGGAATCACTTTTATGAGTCTTATTTTAAGAGACACACAAAATTCAGAGTGTCCCTATGAGCAGGGGACCTAGTGAGGATGTCTAATTCTGCACCTGAGGGTGAGCTGCCATCAGGAGTGGTTTGGTTGCTCTGTGTAAGTCCTGAGATCATTTCTTTAGTTCAGTCAGGGGTCAGGCCTGTGCTGGGTCTTGTGCTGTGACAGACACTGCCAGGTCAGTTTTACGGCAGAAATGTGTGAAACCTGCGAAACACTTTGGCCCATCCCTGCTTCAACAAGTGGGTTAAATTGTCTTTTTTCCTCCTTGGGAATGGGCATTGCCTGTGCAGAGGAGCTGGACAAGCTGATCACCGACAGACCCGAGAGCTGCAGGCGGCCCAGCAAACAGGCAGAGCCCGAGGTGACCCCCCTGAGCCACATGGCCACGGCCCAGGGCCGGATCCCCGTGTCCCAGCTCCAGCCTCAGCCCATCATGACGCTGTCCCTGCAGTCCCTGCCCCTGCACCACCAGCTCCAGACCCAGGCTCGCATTGCCCCAAACTCTCCTGCCCCGGCGCAGACGCCTCCCCTGCACACCCTGCCCGACATGAGCCACAGCCCCCTGCCCCACCACCCCCTGGGACGGGCCCCTCCGGAATTCCCCAACGTGCCGGCTGACATGAGCACGGAGGTGGATGCCCTGGATCCCAGCATCATGGACTTTGCACTGCAAGGTAAGGGACGGGGCCTGGAGGAGGGCAGGGAGGGGGTTCTGTTGTTGGGTAGCCACTGAACATCCAGCCAGGGTCCTGCAGAAGGTGTAAGCAGGGATGGGGTACACCTCATCTCACTGCCCATGGGAAAACAAAGCTGTGCCTGTGCCTTGGTGTTCCCCTTGTGTGCGAGGAGAACTTCCCTGGCTTTTGGCAATGCCTGGTGTGGTCCCTGGGTGTGTGGTTAGCTCAGGTAAATAGGTGCTGCCTGGAAAGGGCTGGAACCAGAGGATTTGTGGGGAACAGACATGCCTGCTGCCCTTGCCCCATAGTGGTACCACCCTCGAGCAGTGAGTGAAGCCCTTTAGTTACCCCTGAAGTGGGTGACCCACACCCAGCTCCCACGGGTGTGGGATGTGCTGCTGTGAGCGGGATTTAATCCTTTCCAGGTAACATCTGGGAGGAGATGAAGGATGAGAGCTTCAGCCTGGACACCCTGGGTGCCTTCAGCACATCCCCTCTGCACCTCTCCGACTGCGACCTGGGCACCCCCGGCCTCACGCCTGTGTCCAGCAGCAGCGACCGCTCCTTCCCAGACCTGCAGGTCACCGGCCTCTACACCACCTACACCACCCTGGACAACGTGGCAGCTGCTCAGTACATGACCCCCCAGGGGAACAAACCCATCCCTCTGCTCTGAGCTTTGCACCCTTCCCCAGATCCCAACACCTGGAAGTAATGAGAGCTCCTCCTGCAGACACTTGGGATGTGTCAGCTACTTACAGCATGAGAGGCCAAAATAAATCAGACTGTGACTGGGAGAACCACCTTCACTTGTGGCAACCCTGAGGAAGGGGCACAGATACTTCTGTTGTGGGGCTGGTCAGCTCTCCAGAAGGACTTGGAAGGTGTAGCAGGAACTTTCACTGGAATGGAACCGAGCTAAAAGTAACCCAGTTAAGGGAAACACATTTAATCTCCCCCATGATCTGGTGAAGCTGGTTGGTCACCACCTTTGCAGACGCCAACAGAGTCAACGGGATGGTCAGAACTGAGTTGGAGCCCAAAATGGTTCACTGTGCACCTGGTGAATCATTTGCTCTTAATTTGCCAAATTCCTGTTGCTGTGGAACAAAGACCTCACCCAGTCCCTGGAGACATTTGCACCACTAACACTTTTCTGACTTTACTGTTGTTAATTTATTTTTCTGAGGTAGGAAAAAAGGAGCAAAAATACTAAAAATGAAAAGTCAACCCCATAGCAGACAACTGCTGTATCTAGATTTAAAAACAAAGTCCTCACACCTGAGGGAAGTGGTACTACTGAACTATTAAAGTGGCTAGAAGATTTTAGGAATTATGGCTATTTTTAGGATTTTAAAAAGAAATAGATTTGTTTATAGTCTTGTGTATTGTGCTTCTGTCTATTCTTGTGCTAGGCAGTATTACTATTTGTAAATTTATTTATATTTATTGTTATGAAGAGAAAAGAAATTATTGAGCACTGTTCAAGTTTTATAATGCTGCAGTACCCTGGTTTACAGCCACTAAATTATTCAGCATCAAAAATACAACTAGCTCATCACAGTCTTTACACTGCATTTCTTTAATAAGCACTTTTGATACTGTGAAACTCCTTTTTTAAAAAAATCAGAGACCAAATATTGTCACTGTACCATCCATAGTAGTCTGTCTTTCCTAATTAACTAAGAAAAACTGATTCTAATGTAGCGTTTTTAAAAACTTTCAAACCCTGCTTTGTACTTGGTAACATACACTGCAAAAATGTGATGAAACATCTGAAAGTAAGTTGGGATTTAGCATTTAGTCCACATATACCTCTGTGACCACACTGATATTTATGTGTCGGGCTTTGTCTGTTCCTGTGCATTAATAGAATTTTCCAGTGTCATATCCACGTGCTCACGGGCTCCTCTCTCCCACCCCCATCCATGGATTAAACCTGGAGGGTGCAGGATGCTGGAGTGACCCAGTGGGCATCTTTTTTGCTTGAAAGTCCCTTCTGTGAAGATCAGGGGATAGAAAGCAACTGTACCTGTATCCTCCCAGCACATCTGTCTGTGGAAACCTCTTCCCAAGGGCAGGATGCTCCACGTCATAATTTATTGCTCAAGGACAATGTGATTGATGATCATTTGCTGTGACTGGTGTCATCGATGATGTCTGTGTTTTTTAAATAAATATTTCTTAGCACTAAGCCTGGGTCACTCTGGATGTGCTGGGTGATATCTGCTCTGGTGGCAGGGAGCCCCTGCCATGCTGAGCTTTCCCAGGATTCATTCCCTTCACAGACACCGTTCTACAGGTGTATCCTTGGCTCAAATCCTCCAGGAGAGTAGGAGTTTACAGGTAGTTGGTGCCCTCCTGTTCCTCACACCCTCTGTAGCCAAATTCCTGGATGACTTCTGGTGTGGGGACAGGGGCTGGCAGGAGGGTGCTCAGAGCTTGTCCACACCCAAATGGGTCCTGTGCCACAGGAAGGGGCCAGAGGCACCAGCCCCTGCTCAGATCCACCGCGTTTGTACAAGGACAGAAGACACAGAGGTCAGGAGTCCTTCCCTGGAGCTGAGCCCACTTTATTGCCACTGATTTGGCTGCTGTACATGAGGAGCAGCAGTCACACCTTTCAAAGCAGGAAGTGTCTCACAAGGCCCTTCCTACTCCCACCACAGGACAGGGAGACCTCCCCACAGATCCCAGGCATGACCAGGGAGGTCTCCAGCACCCTCACTCCACAATACCAGCACTGTGCTTGAACAGCGTGTCCCACCCTCCACCACCATCCTGCTCCTTCTTTGTGAGCCAAAGGTAACCCTGTGCTGGTGAAATGACACAGCCAGAGGCACTGGAAAGCCCATGTTCAAATGTCCTCTCCATGACAAAGATCAAATAAGGCCACCTGAGAAGCAAGGTACAGGTCCAGGCAGGTGACAAGTCACCCGTGAGCTCTTTTACTCTCCTATTCTTCAGAGGAGGAACCAGGTCACTGGGGCAGGAGCACCTGGAGCTGTGTCCTCCCTCCTCTCCATCCTCCACAGGAGCCAGAAAGGACATGAGACAGGCGAGAGGAACAGTTGGCCAGTCAGTGATGGATCCTTTGACGTTCCCACTGCAGCAGCTCCTAGATGAGCTCACTTAGGTCTTTTCTGGCCCTCAGCTACTTGCAGTCACATCTACTCTTCACCCTCCAACAAGGGGAAGGACAAGACAAATTGGTCCTCCCAGTTTCTAAACCATAGTTACTCCCGCTTACTTTGAGGCTGCTGCTCACAGGATGTTCATTTCCTTGTGTTGGTGCCTGGGCATCTCCTTTGTCCTGCTCCCTGTGGCCCCTGGGACAGTGGGTCTGAACCTCCAGCTCTGTACAGTCTCATAAGATGTGTCTGACCTGGTGTTTGTTTTAAAGATCAGGGCCAGGCTTTGCAACTAAAACACAGTAAAAGATTTTAGATTCTTATTAAAACCAACTTCTGTACCAGGTCCAGACTCCAGGCTTGGCTCAGGACAAGTTTATCTTCTGCCAAGCTGCCCCTCTGGTGAACATCCCCGTGCCAGAGGGGCCTCTGTGTGGATGGCAAGACCACCTCCATGGCTTAAAATACTAACACTGTGTCCTTTATTCAGGCACATGAGGAAGAGTCCAAGGCTTCAGAGTTCCAGGGCTGAGGAGCCATGAGGGGAGGTGAGGCTGTGTCCCAGTACCCCTCCTGCCCCGTGGGGATTGCCCTGGGCAGCGCCAGCCCTGGCTCAGGAGGGGTCATCCGTGTCCACCGTGGACAGGAGATGGGCCACCTGGGCCTTCTGGGCACCGGTGATGTGCTGGGCCATCTGCACCATGCAGTCCATGGTCACCTCGGGGTTGGCCTGGAGCAAGCTGCAAGGCAAATTGGGGGAGGGCAGCCAGCTGGAAGGCTGAAGGAAGAACTACCTTCTCTGCAACCCCCACTGTTCCCACCCCAGGGATCAGCATCAGCCTCCTCATCCTGGCTCCAGTGGCCCCTCACCTGCGGATGTGTTTGAGGATGTAATCCCTCCTCAGGTGCTTGATGTTCTCCCTGATGACTGACTGGGTGCTGTCATCCTCCTGCATGTGCTTCTCCAGCCACTCCACCACCACCTGGTTATTGTCCCAGAGGTAGCCCTATGGAGAGCAGCACAGTGGGCAGGGAGTCCTGCTGTCTGCACAGCCTGAGCCCCCCCTTCCTCCTGTGGCCTCAAAACCAAGCAATGGGAATTTCCTTCCCAGTCCTGCACATATGGCACGGCACAATCTCCCACTCCCATGTTCCAGCCACGGGGTAAAAGGTTCAGTCTGGAAACTGAAATTCAGGAAACCTTTGCGAACTGTTTAAAATGCAAAAAGTTAAGGTAAAACATGTTTCCTTTGCACGTCATCACTTCCTGGCTCAGCAAGCAGAGGATTGGCACAGCGACACGTGTGTGTCATTTGAAAGTAGCTCAAATGCAAAGACTCCAAGTCTCTCATCTGCCCTGGGAAGCCCTGTCATGGTAGAAAGTGTTTATTTGGGGACGACCTTGCTATTGCTGAGCACCAGCACCCAACTGGGGTCACCTGGTTTGGAGGGACATCTCCAGCCTCAGGGCTGCTCAGCTGCCCACCCCGACACATTCCCATCATGCGTTTAAACCTTCGAGGAGGCACCGCCCAAACATCTGGGTGATGGAAGAGCAAGGTGAGAGCCCTTGGGATGCCCAGGGGGTGTCTCAGGAGGTTGGGGCAGGGGGTACCTTTTCGGCTCCCTCCGTCTCCATGAACCAGCGCCGCAGCATGGACTGGATGTGGATGTGGCTGAGCTCACTGTTGGCCTTCAGCACCTCCGCCTTCACCCCCTGCTCCAGCAGCAGCCGCCGCAGCCGCCAGTAGAGGAAGGAGCGGGCACTCCTCCACTCCAGGATGTCCTGCAGGAACAGGCACAGCAGGGTTTGCCTTTGTAGGAAGAGGAGAAGCCAATGTGCTCGCTCACAGCTCCATACCCAGGGCAGAGGGCAGTGCAGGGGCAGGAACAGTCTGGGAGCTGCAGCCCCTCGGGAGGGGATTTGCCTCCTGCCTTTGTGCTTCTACCGCAGAAATCCCTGCCCTGAGCTCTTCCCCTGGGCTAGTGCCCTCCCAGCTCACCGTGATGACTCCTTTCTCCTGCATGCGGCCCGGGGTGTCGTGCAGGTCGGCGAAGCGCACGGCCACCTGGTGGTACACGGGCAGGAGCAGCTCCTCCCGCGCCTTCAGCTGCTTCTCCAGCTCCCTGCGCTGCGCCTCGGACAGCTCAGGGGTGCCTGGGGGACACACTGTGCTGAGCAGCCCCAGTGGTGGGATCCACAGGCACCATGGGATCTGTGGTGTCTCTGTGCTCCCACATCAGCCACCCCCACTGGGAAATGCAGTGCCACGTCCCTTTGCTTTGGCACGGCTACATCAGAGCCCAGCCACTGGCCACAAAGGGGTCTCACCGTGTTTGGTGTCTGCCACAAGAGAGGGGAGGTGGCATTGGCAAGGACTCTGTGGGACTGTGTTGTGGCAGGGTGGAAGGACATGGGGGCAAAGACCACCTAATGCATTGGGTACAATTCAGCCTGGCCATTGCCATTCTTCATCTCAAAGCATGGGAGTAGACCCCAGCCCCAGCCCTAGGAGATACAGGTGTTCTAAAGTACCACCATATCCTCTCAACAGGCACAATACCAGAAAAGCCATGAAGAATTTTCCCAAAGGAACACTATAGGATTTCCTGGTGGTTGCCATCATAGTGCTTGAGCCTCATGTTTTAATTTACCACCACCAATGCCCTGAAACCTCCTCCCCTTACCCAGCTGCTCAACAAGCTTGGCATAGACTGTATCAATCCTTCTCATGGTCTTCACCAAATCCTTCTTCCTGAACTTAATCTCCACTGTTCCTCCAGGCTCCAAAATGCCTCCCCTGGAAGGAAAGTTTGGTAAAGCAGGGACTGCTCTTCACTGGAGAATAAATCCTGGGAGAAGAGAGGCAGCTCTCCCTTCTGAGAATTATGGAGAGAAAATCTAAAAGGATTTTGCTTCCAGTGTGGGATTCTTGTCTACCCTGCCACTCCTCACAGCTCACTCCAGTGTGCAGATTAGAGAAAAGGCTTCCTGACTGCAGAACTGTGTTTTACTCACCCACAGCCTTTGCTGGAGGCAGGAGGATATTCCAAGGAGACACCTTGGGTATACCCCAAACCTTTCCAGGATTCTATACCTGCCACGCTGCTCCGCAAGAACTTTGGAACTTGTCACTGATGGCTTCGAAAGGGTTAAAACCAGACATCTCAAGTGGCAGAAGGTCCCTGCCAGGGGACTGTAGCTCTGCAGCCCCCATTCCCCAGCTCTCCCTTCCCCACACAGGGGCTGTGGGGGACACCCATGCATTTGGGGTGCTGACCTGCTCTCCTTGTCGGCGTAGAGCTCCACGTGCAGGGGGTTGATGGTGGAGTCGAT